GCGCAACATTTCGAATCCGAAACCTGGGAACAGGCGCGTTGGCGTTGTGAGAAATTTCCTTTTTTTGGTGCTGGTTTTTCTCGAAAAACGGCCCCCGACGGAATCCGACGTAAGAATCGGTTTTCCGACGTAAGAATTGGTTTTCCGACGGGTTCCGACGGATTCCGACGCACCTTTCGGCGCTGTTTTTTGAAGATTTGGTTTTTGAGCGCAGATGCAAGTGATTTACTTGCCTGGAGTTGCAGCCGGCGACCTATGGCAAGGGCCGAAAACTTAAATTCTTAATCTTGCGTTGAGGGCTGGCGCAAACCCTAAAACCAGAAACAACCCTCAAAAACCAAAAACAACCCTGAGCCCTTAAAACCAAAAACAAACCTTCAACCCTCAAACCCCAAGTCAAGCCCTAAACCCTAAAAACCAAAAACAAACCTAAACAGTCAAAGCACAGGAAGCACCTCAGCAGTAAAACCAAGAACACCCTCGCGTCTGCCAAGGCACATGCACCATAAGACGCCGCGAGAAAGAAAAATAGACAACGCACAAAGGCCATCAAAAGCCCAAAAATCAAGCGCGGCCGGCGCAACCCTGGGAGTGGAGAGCAGGCAGAAAAGAAAAGAATCAAACGACATCACGAGTTGAAGGCTCAAAGAATACAGCACCTCAGACACGAAACTGTCAGGGGCTAGGAATAGATTCATACAATACTTTGCGCCACAAAAGCAGCAAAACAACGCATTTCTTCCGGCAAGGTGCTTCACATGCTTCTACAAGAGAGCTTGCTAGAAGACACGGCTAGAAGACACGGCGGTTGCACCTACTGTCCTATAGGCGTATACGCTTCCGAATCTGCAACATGTCTGCAAGACACAGCGACAGTGGCGCCGTCAAATTCGCGATGTTCCAGGGAAAAAAACATGCAAAGTCTCGAACCTCTTTGCAAATTGCGCACCAAAAAAAATAAGAGTTCAGATCCAAAATGAGGGCATGCACTTGTAGTCAAATTCCGGGCAAAACAAGAGCGGCTTTGACTTCACAGCTACAGGTGCTAATTTGAAGACTTTGGTGGTCCGTCCGATTGCAGATCTGTTCAGGTTCATGAAGGTCATGTGAAATACGATGCCTATGTAAAGATTCACAGATACAAAGATTGATGCCAAAAAAAATCTGGGCTAATGTGCAGAGTGTGCAGAAGACATTTTAAACAGGACGTAGGCGTTGCCACATGCTCAATGCCGTGCCCATGTCAGATTTATGTTAGCTGTGCCAAAAAATAGAGGGTTACTTCTGGCCCGCAGGCTGGTCTCTTTAGAATCCTTCAGAAAATGCTTCTACGGCGCTTCAGCTAGCCATTAGACAAATGGACGCAGCTGCATATCCAAGAATCGGTTTTTCGACGTGGAAATTGGTAAAACCAATTTGTTTTGGTCGACCAAAAATTTTTGGTCTTTGAGCTCTCCCTGTAGATAGATAGAGAGAGAGAGAGAGAAAGAAAGAGAGGAGACCTCAAGCACCTTTCAGTCCATCAGTGGCTTCGCTCTGCCATCCCTGATTCACAACAACCAACCTCTCCTATAGGTTACGGTTTCCTATTTTTGAAACTTCCGCCACCGCCTTGTGCGGTACTACTGGTATACCTTATCTAGTTTCTAGAACAATGCTCTGGGGCTCAAGGTACGGGAAGGCGGTACGCTATTATGGGTACGCCGGGTACGATGTCAAAGGTACTGTGGTACAACGGCGGGAAAGGTAGTACGGGGGTATGGTGGGCATGGTACAAAGGGTACGGTACAAGGGGTACAGTGGGTACATGTGGGTACGTACCACCGTACCCCCCGTACCCCCCCTGTACTCTACCCACCCTACCCCTGTACCGTACCCACCGTATACGCTTGTACCGCACCCCCGTTCTGTACCCAATCTCTCTTGCCATTTGTGCACCGCTCCCCCGAAGAAATTACTTTCTTCGAGCGATCCCCACCCTGAAACACTATTCTGACACAGTTTCCGGCATACCATCTGGAAGTATGGCATATTTATTCGGACATTCTATCTGGCATTCTTTCTGTCATTTAATTAATTACTTCGATTTTGACATTTTATCGGACATTCTACCTGGCATCTCTTCCGACATGCTTTCCGGCATAGACATTCTATCTGGCATCTTCTGGGGCATTCATTTTGGCATTCTGTCCGGCATCTAGTCTGAAATTCTCTCTGAAATTCTTTCTGGCATTCTACCTGGCATCTGTTCTGACTTTCTTTCTGGCATTCTATTTGGTGTTCTCCCCGGCGTCTGGCTGAAGCCCGGAAGTGCCCACTGAGATCTGGAGCTCGCGGTTGAGGTCAGGCAGTGCCCACTGAGATCTGGAGCTCACGGTTGAGGTCCGGCAGCGCCCACTGAGATCTGGAGCTCGCGGTTGAGATCCGGCAGTGCCCACTGAGATCTGGAGCTCACGGTTGAGGTCCGGCAGCGCCCACTGAGATCTGGAGCTCGCGGTTG